TGTCTTTCTCTTTCACGAGTTGATCCACAATACCCTTCCAAGAACCGGAGGTAGGAAGATGAGCAGATGATGATATGTTAGAGGAAAATAAATCCTCTGGATCCCTTGATCTCTTCATGACACGTCGCTCAAGAAACTCTATGAAGACTTACACACCCATAAGATAGGCATACTCCTCTAAGGTTGGAAATAGATGATAATCTGGGAAAGTAAATCAACGATGCAACAGATCATAGAACTGGACCAAGGTATTAAGAATCCCCTCTTCAACATCAGTCCTCAGAATAATCAACAATTTCCTAAACAACATTTCTCAACTCGTGTAAGTCAAAACTCGTGAAAGTGTACTTCTTAGTGTTACTTCTTTCAATATCCATGATTCTAAAAAATTTGCGATATTTGCAAAAAAGAAATCTCTGAGTTCCTTGAAAACTGAGAAAAAATGCTCATGAATGAATAGATGCAAGATGCAACACCCACAAACAAGACATACAAAGCACACAGGTTCAAAGGTTCGGCACGAGCATGGAGCCAAAGGTAAGAACCAACCAAACCACAATGGTATGTACTATGGTTATATCATCACCTGTAGAACAAGGTTCTAAAAAGTTCCCAAAGTCATAATTCCATCTTTTGGATATTATTGGCTTAAACGACTACTTGTCGGCCAACAATATTCTCAAAAGAAACTCGTCTGAGTGTGGTATCGCGTAACGACTAATTCAAGTCTACACCTGAACAGCCACCGCACCACGTCCTAATAAGGCCAAGATGGGTTAAAGGGTTCTAAGGTCCTCAGCTTCTCAGGCTCCCAGTCGGAAAAAGTAATATCAATTACGACTACTCGTAAGACATCAGTAATTCCAAAGGGGCCTCCACCGAGTGGGGGATCTCAAGTCAGCTTAGTAAGGACTACTCCACGTAAGCCAACGAGACTATACCACCCTCCTATCATAAGTGCACTCAAGTCTGGGTATAGGACTTATCTCACCACACAGATTACCAAGCACCAAAACAGAACAAACAATAACAAACAAGTCAAACAGAAAGCGATAAATAAATCAAAGTAGGCGAAACCCACTAGGAACCGTTGGAGTCCCCAGCAGAGTCGCCACTTTTCTGTAGCGGTAAAAATCGTGAGTGTAAGTTATTGATTAACTTAACTCAAAGAAAACAAGAGTCGCCACCGCACTTTTATTTTATCCAAAAAAAGGAAAGGAAAAAGAGCGAACAAAACCAAATAGTTCTAAAATAAGAACAAGAGACAGAGATCGGGGTAAGGGGGTTGGTTACGCAATGGGAAGGTGTTAGCACCCAAAACGTCTATAGTACTCTATAGGAGCCCTTTGAAATATTTACGTTTTTTTGGTTTGAAAATGGTTTGTTTGAAAAGAGATTGGGGAGATGAGAAGAGAACTATTTTTTAGATTTTTGTGTTTGGAGAGACTTATCGTCTCATGCCTACGTACCCACAAAGTGCAATATGGGATCAAAACCCCGTAGTTTGTGGTACAAATGACAAAAATTTGTTGGTTTTGATTGATTTTAGATGTAAAGACAAGTCGTCATTTCAAGGAGAAAACTGCGACTATCCACCCACGAGTATTAAGACAACATCTGCGTCACATAAAGATGGAGGATTTGCTTGGATTATCAACAAGACTATCACTCAACATCAACGTGGAAAATGTCAAAGTCTTAATAACATGGGGAATAAGAGATTTACATCTCAACTATAGAAATGAATCATGTCTAAACTTTATGAAAAGTTTTAAAGTGAAAAAGTGCATAAAGGCACAAAAAGAGTTGATGAGTTTTTGTATTTTTTATGTCTTTTGAAATTGGTCAAAGCATGATTAACATTGATTGACTTTTATTAAGAAAAAAAATAAAGTTTAAAAATCACTTGACGGAAGTCAAGGTTTTATTGCGAAAGCGGTTTTGAAGTTTGAAACCAAGAAGGTTTTGAAAGAGGGAGAAAGTTTTGAAAATTTAAGAAGGGGAGGAGATGAAGTGACTATCCTAGAAACCAAAATAAGAGCTAGAGGTAAGAAAGATCTAAGCGACTTGTAGCACACTCCATAGCAAGCAAAAAAGAATTCCATCCGATTTAAAGCATAAGCTAATGAGCGAGCCAAATAAAGGCTAAGATCCACAATACTCCAAGCATAGGAATAAGAGTCCTAATTCTAAGTCCAAAGGTCTATGAAGTCCAAGGTCTAAGAGTAGTCCAAGAGCATAACCACAAAGTTAACAACACCAAGTTTTTTAGAGATTTTTTATCCTTTATTAGTGTTTTGAACAAGATATGGTCCAAGTGGACAAAAGAGAAATGACATAAACATAAACAAAGATATGATATGAAATGATAAAATGGAAGCATAAAAGTAAGAAATAAGGAGTAAGAAGAGAATATAAACAAAATTAAACAAGGATAATGTTAGTGAATTAGTGGTTAGTGGTTAGAACATATGATCAATGATGATTAATTCTTGCACTTTAGACCAAGGTTAATGAAAACTCATTAGAGGATTGATAGAATCAAAGCCTCCTAACAATGATTTTCATAGGTATTGGACTTAAGACAAGCAACTAAACATACTTGGACTTTTAAACGTAAGTTTGAGCCACGAATGATCATTTTCCGATTAAGGGACACTTTAGCGCTATGTTAAGCAATCGTAATCGGGTTTATGTAGAAACCACGACTATCTGAGGCCGGTCAATAATAATGTTAGTGTTAACACATGTTAGAGAAGTGATATGTAAACCACTCTCCTAAAACATGCCACACAAAAAGAAAAGAGGTAGTGATCTCATCACAATCAAGATTTTTATCAATTAATCAAAGGTAATCTATCACTATTCCAAAGTACGGAGAATTATCTCAATGATTATTCGTCCATAGATTTGAAATAATGAAGATTAAACAACCTTGATAATCAACAATCTATGATACATAGATTTTCATCGATCAAAAATAAAAAAAGAAGAAGAAAGAGAATTAAAAAGAAACCACAATTTGAATCTTTAAATAGATTAAATCATAATCAATATCAATCACCTCTCTTGGTGGATAAAATCGACACCCAAAGTCCATTGATATTGATGAGATCTTATCAAAATTCAAGATCTAAATCTATTTTAAGAAATTATTTATATAAAAAAAATATTAGAGGAAAAGAAAATTTGAATGAAAAATTAAACAAAAAAAAAGGTTTATTAAACAAAACATGGTGATGATTATGGTAACAAGCCACACGGCCCAAGATTTTAAGAAAAAAATCAAAAATTAAAAAAAAGAAGAAAAATATAATTGAAAAAAATAAGTGAAACGGACAAAAGAGAAATAGAAATTCAGAAAACAATATCTTCTCGCGGCACTGTGAATCATCTCTCGGTAGATCTCGCAAGAAAAACCTATTTCACTGCCGTTTCCATCTTCTTCTATCAATCTTTCACCGTTTACAAATACTCCGTCTCGCTCTCATTTTTGTAAACAACGTTTCCAGTGAAATAACTCAACTACGAAATTGGATCGAAGTTGATGATGAATAAGAAATCAGGTTCGAATAATCAATTCTTACACTCTCTGTTTCTTCTTCTTTGCAAATTATGCTCGAGTTGTTGTTTGTTGATGTTGATGAAGAGTTGCCACGATTTACATTGAGAGATGCGAAATTGAATGTCGGTTTGATTTTTGCAGAGTGATGAGGGGATGTTCAAGCTTGAAGACGAGTGTTGGTGAGTTTTCAGCAGAGGTTTTCTGGCTTTTCAAGCTTGAAAAATAGAGTGAGGTATGAGTTGTATTTATAGATGAATGAAGATGAAATTTGAGTGAGAATTGGTGAGGGCTGCGTGAAGCTTGCGTTTCATTGATACTTGCCGCGTTTTGGTTTTTTTGCGTGACTTGCTTTTACTCCCTTTTTTAATTTCGTTTTGCTATTTCTCTTTGTAGCTCACGTGTTATTCTTTCTTTTTGATTTCAGCCCAAATTCAAATATGTGACGTGGATCATTTTTTAACATGTGACTTGAAGGTACAGCCGTCTTGGAAATACGGCCCAGTGCAAGCCCAGACACTTCACATCTGTAATAACAAGATTCATCCCCTGCTTTATCAAGGTAACTACTGCAATCCCACTGCAAAAGCCATCAATGTCACGATGCGGTTTCAGTTCTTTGTCCATGATCTTGCTAGCCTTCAAAAAGTATTCTCTTAATGCCAAGATAGTATTTGATCCATCGAGCTCATGATCAAAATTCTCACTGACCTGTCTAATTTGCTTTTTAGAATTCTAACTTGTGGCAGCACCAACAGTACTCTCGGATGCAGTGTAGTGTATCAACTCAGAAATAACATTTACAAATGTCTCTGAAAGTATCTCAAAATTCAAGCTCAATAGTGCTGCAAGAACTAATGGATGGACTTCGATCAGCTGAACAAATGTTGCACAGACCAACTTCCGCACTTCTGATGTAGGGTCATTTGCAAGAATAAACAGACCTTGAAGATATTGATCCATGGAGCCAGACAACACTTCTACACTGAGGATAACCCAAGCATCCAACCATAAACTTGCCATCTCGGTTTTTCTTTTTCCCAATCAAGAAGTATCACCATTCAAATGTTCCTTATTTTCACTAAATGACTTCCTCTTCTCATAACCACGAGACTGACAATGGTACCTGATGACATAAGATCCTGTTTAAATGTAGAATCAAGAATTGACAACTTCTACTTCTCTAAGACTTCGTCATGCAGCTTCTGTCCGCACAGCTGTATCATTATTCTCAAACTGCATCTCAACTTCTTATGATTGAGTGTTTAATACATCTTCTTGCGGCGATCTTTTTCCAGCAGGTCTGTTGTCAACATTGTCTGTTACCTGCTGCTTTGCTGATTGTTACAGCCAGATGCTGTATAAAAACCACAAATCTGGGTTTACTCGGTTTCTTAATTCTTGTTAACATCAGAGCTCCAGTGTTATTAACTTTGTTTCAATCCTGTTCCATCTTGATGACACTTGATAACGAGTTCTCTGATAAGCATCTTGTGTGAATGATGGGACCCCTTCCAGAACTCGTATCTTTGATTCCAATCTCATTATCGCTATCAGAGCCAGTCACGTAAACATCCCCTTTGAACATCCACTCGCTATTTTCCGGATAGTAAACGTCTTCAAATAGCTCGCCACACACCACACATAAGCATTGTTTTTCATCTGCTAGAACCATTGCATCCTCTTGACTTTCGTCTGTTTTCTTGTCTTGTGAATCTACAGAATCAGTAAACTCATTTTCAGGTGAACATTCAGCTTGGCCAGCAACCCAGTCAGTTGACTTCAGATACCATCTTGATGTTGTAGTTAAACCCCTGTGTTCTCTTTCTCTTGTGTCGTGCCACTCCAAGTGTCTATTAAACTGTTCTTGGAATTTGAGCTTAAGGCCACAAATGCTGCAATGATGTGGAAAATCATCAAATAATCCACTAATTACAGATGGATGCAATTTTCTGATTACATTAGGCTTAAACTCAAAGCCAATGACATTTCTAATATCTGTGCTGGTTGATTCAGATAAGGTCATAGGTGTTTTTGTAGTATCATCTAACTCATCTTTGGTAGAAGGAACATGGACAGCTGCAGAACCAGACAATGAAGCAACAGGCATATAGCTACTGGTGCTAAAGCTGTCACAGTGATCTTCCAATCAAGACACCACCTCAGCCGGTGTCTCAGTTTCTGTTGATATTAAACCCTTTGCAACTAATGAGCTTAAAAGGTTTGAAAGTGGATTTGAGGTTTTATTTGTAGCACCGGATGTCTGGGCTGAGGCACTGCTAACATTCGAGGAAGCTGGTGGTAGAGTAGATGTCCTTATTGAATGTCCAGCCTTTCTTTTAGATCTTTTTGCAAAGCAGATGAAGATGGAGAAGCATTTGCAGACACTGAAGAAATTAATGTGGCAGGGGAAGAACCACCTGACTGAGAAGGCCGAGACCCTAATATAGATGGAAGACTACTAGTAGTTGGGATGGAGAATAGTCTACTCTTCACACTTGCAGCTTCTGTGTGACTTGTGGCTGGCTGCTCTGAGGTTTCTCGGGCTAGAGAAACATTGGACAAGGGTAGCTTCTTGGTCTTAACAGTTACTTCAGTGTGAGAAGAGCTCAGTTGTTGCTGATACCTTGGCTAAAAACTCGAGGAAGGTAATGGACCCTTCAAGTCTTTTACCTGTGATGATCTTCGCAGGTCTCCAACCTGAATATTAGGAGAAAGGGTGAGTGAAGAATCTTTAATATATTGGCTTTGCTGACCTCCCGAAAAATGAGATGTTTTCTGAGTGATAGGATGGTCTTGCTTATCAAAATTTTCCATTAGATGAGAGTGGTCAATATTTGATGGCGACGGAGAGCGTTGTCACAAAGGTGACTGCCCAGAAGTGGTTTCAGATCCCACAGAATGAAATTGTTGTCCTCCAATTCTTGCATTGGGCAGGAAAGCACGATTCCCCATCCTGGCAGCAGAAGAATTTGCATTGCCTAGTAAGGAACCAGACATTGACATGCACCTGTCCGAGTGACCCAGTTCCTTATCCAATTCATCAATTGATTGTTGCTCCTGCAATTTCCATGATCATGATGGATGATGCCGAAATTGTTTCTTTTGAGTGGCTTGAGATCTATTGGTCATTTCTCTATCAACATTTGTCCCAAAAACATTTCTGATTTGGTGGTGGTTATCTTCAACATCCAAATTCTCATCATCAGCAGTCCAAGCATCGTTGCCCAAGTTGTTGCGAACACCGTGACTAGTCAATCCAGTGTTCATCTCATCCCACATGTGACACACGAAAACAGTCTCTGATCTGACAATCCGTCTTCTTAATTAGTTTCATTGTTGTTGCCTGTTTGAAGTTGCTTAGAACTTGAACGGGATGAGTTGCCGTTTTCATCAAATGAGGAAATCCCCTTCCCTTCACACGACAGAGTAAACTTGTCTTTCACATAATGGACATTTTTTCTTGCAGGATTCCACAATTTCTGTTGAACACCAGATCATCAGAACCAAAACCTTTTGAGGAATTCATTTCCTTGGAATTGCATACATTAATGGAAAATTCAGGGTTCACTTTTTTGTTGCTGGCATCTGTGTTTCTTTCTCATTAAGAAGTGGTAATAAAGAATTCTTCAAAGAGAAATGCCAAGTTAGAGGAACTGGGTGTTTCAACGATGTTTCCAATTCTGTTCCATCATGAATCTGACCAATCCAACCAGCCAACTCATCTGGATTATTCACGGGCTTGGTATTATCCAAAACATTGTTATAGCCAACTCTGTTTAGGCAAGGAAGTGCATTCTCACTGACGACGGGTAGTCCAACATTCCACCCGACATTCAACAATTGCCAAACTAATCGTTCAGGATCAGCATATGGCTCTGGAAAGTTCTCATGTTGATTCAATGCGTGCAGGTCAACACAAGCAATGTTTAAGCTAACTCCATTTCTCTTTAACATTGCAACAATTGCAGCATAGCCATCACGATTGCATGGATTATAATACCCAGCAGTTAATTCAGCAGCATGACTAGCAGTCTTGTACCACCAATAAACACCTGATAGCTTTGCAGCAATGCAGGACCCCTCAAAAGCTAATTTTGCCAAAGAGAGTACCCGATTTCCATGATCAACTAAAGCCTGAGAATACCAGTTGAGAAAAAACGTTATCTGGCCCTCTAGCCCAAATAGTGTGGCCTCTTGCTTCTGCTGCTTTCCTAAGACTTTTCAACATATACTGATCATAGCACTGGAATTCACCAATACCAGGATATCTCCAACCATGCTTTACTGGACAAGATGAGTATCTTAGCTCTCCACATGGACCTAGTCCAACTTCAATCAACGAGATAAAACCATCCTCAAAATACTCGTCAAACTCTATCCGGAAACTTCTCATGAAATCAAAATAAACCTCCACAGCATTCCGACCTCTCAAAACACGTTCCTTATCAATTCCCCAAGAAAGACATTCAGGGTTGCGTCTTCCCTCTCTATCAGTGAAAAAAAATATCTGGATTGCTCCTACCAATTTCAGCAACCCAGTGGGGCAAGGGAATACAAACATCATCACCAACATTGCTTCCACACTCATGAAAAGACATGACAACCTGCAACTTAAGTTTAAGCTCACGCACCATTTGAAAAAGTCTCTTGTAACCATTCCAATTATACTCTTGTGGAGTATGTGCTTCCACTATTCCCCACCAGCAGAAACTGCAGCAATGCATTCATTTTGTTTGCACTACAACAATATTAATGACATGGCCTTTGTATGTGTGTTATTTGTACCTATTTTGTTCTTGGACTTAAATGGACATTGAAAATTGTATGAAAAATATGGATATGAATCATTTGGATAAGGAAAAAATGTGAATGAAGTGGATTAAATGAATTTTGGATAATGGATATGAAAAATTGGTTATTGGGTATTTGGGTAGTTGGTTAGAAAATAATGGATAATGGATTAAAAAAGAGATATACACTTCCACCAATACTTTCCACACAAACATCAGATTATAGTGAACGAAGCCATTCCTGAACCACTAATAACTTGCAACTGAAACATCGGCAATTAACATAATTCTCTGAATCTCTGATAAGAATAGAATAAGTGTTGAATCACTTTGAATTTGGCCTGAATCCATCTATGGGAAAATAAATCCACAAGTGAACATAGTTTTCCTTGATGGACCCTTGATCATGATAACCTGGACCACACTTCACATAAAACACTGCTTGATAAACTGATGATTATCCACAAGACCACTTGACCTTGAATAATCATCTCTTGAGAAAATAGTCCACTGATACAGATACTTACAAATGAAGTAATCCCTTGATAGTTTGACCTTAACCGCACATGAATAGCCACACTCAATTCCAAGTCAATCCTTTGCCATGAATCTCCCTACAAAACCTTAAACACACAGTGAAGAAGAAACAAACAAATTGAAAAATATTTTTGGTATTTTGGTTAGATGTTAGTAAACATAAACAACAAAAAGAAAGTAAGAAACCCATAAGGGTGCGAAAGCCAAAAGTATGACCTTGTTTGTGGAATGATATGCAAATGAAATGTGGGATCTTAGGGGTAAAAATTAGGGTATTACACCTAAGGTAGGACTTCAGATGCACCCATATTAACCCTAAAATTCATCTAAAATGGAAGAACAAAGGAAAAAGAAATTTACCAAAAATGGAGATCTGATGCTCCTAAACCTTGTTCTAATGCTTCAAACAAAATTTCCTCTAGCCTTCTGGGACTTTTAGGATGATGATAGAAGCAAGAATGAGAAAGAAATGCTCTTGGAGAGTGAAATTCGAAGAGTGGAAATTTTTGAAGTGAGAGTGTTTTTGGTACTGATTCTGATCCAAATGAGATGGATGCCTCCTCTATTAGGGTTTGTGTGTCTTATGTATGGCAGCTTGAATGGTTAAAAACATAAGTAACTGTGGTTAAATGTTGGTTAGTCATTTTTTGGTGAAATTCTGAAAAATGGAGGTGGGAGGAGTATGATACGAGTTGCATGACCTTGTATGGTTTGCTTTAGTTTTCATTTGTGTGCCAAGAATGATCAGACAAAGAGAGTGGATGGAGATACTTGGCGAGCAAGTTTTGAAAGGTTTGTCTTCTTGCTACTTTTGGGAAAGTTATTCAAAAATGCACTCACATGGTACAAGGCTTGCTTGGTTGTTTGAGGCAATGTTTTTGTGACTCAAAGGGTGACCTAATGCAAGTGAAATTATCATGAGCAAGTTGCTGCAAGACATGTTAAGGAAATGCCAAGGTTTCTCATCAAATGTGCATCATGAACCAACTCTCATGTCATCCACTTTGAACCATCACAACTTGACTAATAACAATCCAATGATGATGAAACTTGTATGGTTGGAAAGATTAGAGATAGTAGAACAACTTTCATGTTATTTAAAACTTTAGATGAGCCTTGGATCAATGAGAAATATTGAGTGGAAGTTGTGTCCTCAAAACTGTCCAAAGTAACTTAGAAAAAATTCTAAGTTATTGAACCTTTGACATAACTGAAACCTCATCTTTGAATCGATTTAACTGTAGCATTTTTGATCCAATCGAGATGTTCTAGTAATGGATAGAAAGCTTGAAGAATGGTCTTCAATTTTCGTGTTTAAGAGAAATTGATTTTAGGTCAAGAACTTGGTGAAAAGTGTCTTGGAAAGTAGACCCAAAAATCTGCCTAAAACTTGTCCACTCTTGACAACTTTGAAACCCTAATTTGGAGGGACCATAATTTGAGCTTTACACATCCAATGGAGATGATCTAGTACTCAAAAGAAATATTAGAGGATTCTCTACAACTTTCATGTTCAAGTAAAAGCCATTTGAAGCTTGCATCATCGTGTAAGATAGGCTTGAAAACATGTACTTCAAGTTGAATTTCCATACTTAGAAAAATTTCTAAGTGTTGGAATGTTAAAATCTCCATTTTCTCAACTTTAGCTCATCATAGCTCTCAAACTATAGATATTTTGGACTTTCTTTCTTCTACAAACTTGTAGTTCACGATGTCCTCTTTAATTTGATAACAAGTTTTCTTTCATTATATCAAGGATGAGAAAGTTATGGATGTTGCA